TAAGGCACCTGAAGACGCTCTATTGTGGTTCTGTCCTGTCCCCAACCCCACCCTTCTTACAAGGCTCTCCGCTTCCCCAGGAAAGCCTGTGGTGCCAGCTTCCTGAACTGCCTCCTGCAGCCGGGAGCCGATTCCGGGGATGCCTGGCTCTCAAGCTTTATATGATTTGTTGGGCGAGGAAGTGGGGAGGGGTAGCAGTGCTGGGGGTTTGCGTACATGTGTTCCTGGACAAGAGGAGGGTTTTCACTGTTAAGGGGGTGAAGTGGCGATGATTGCAAGGGGAACGTTGTGGGGGAGGGGGCTCTGACAGAGGGCTGCTCCTGCTGGCTGACTCTGAGCGCCACAGGGACTTCTGTGCCCACCAGTGGCTATGAGGGGTGTCGTGTTGACGGTGAGAGCTGACTGTGAGGGAGAGGTGGGTGAGGGTGATGGCTGACTGAGTTGGACTGGCTGAGGAGGGAGTGTATGCACGTGCGTGTGTGCACGTGTGTGTGTCCGCATATGTGTGCACCGACTGAAGGATGTTTCCACTGTTTCTGAGTGGCCATACCTGTCCGTGAAGAAGGCACAAACTGCTTTTAGGATGTGTTGTAAGGCCGTGAAGGGGGTGTCCACTGTCCCTGCCTGTTGGTGATGGGAACTTTGAGGCAGAGCTGGCAGTAGGGCACCTGCTGCCTTTCTGCCCCAGGCCTCCTGACAGGCAAGGAGGGGGCACTGGGTGCCTTCCAGGGAGGGAAGGATTGATGGACTCAGAGAGCTGGTGCTGAGCCTGAGGCATAGTGGGGACTGGCACGGTGTCCAGGAGGTGCTGCTTTCTTACAAAGTGCCACGGGACATATGGAAACGGGGTGCAGCTTGACCGGGAACTCCCTGACAGGGATGCCAAGAGTGTCCCATGTGGCCGTAGGGAATCTATTTTAGGATTCTAACTCCCTTCACTTGTGGGAGCCTGACAGACTCAGTGCCATGGCACCCACATCACAACTTCCCCCGGCACTTCAGTTCTAGAAGCTTCCGCACTGGGAATCTTATCTTGTTATCTCCACCAGCTGAAGTATGCATGAAACTTGAGTTTCTAAGTCTCACAGCCAGAGCAAAGCCTGCTCACTCCGCCCTGCGCTGACGCTCTGTCCCATCATGGCTGCTCTGCTGGGCGTCTGCGACCCGCAGAGAGGCCTTCTGGCCACTGAGAAGGTGCCTCTCCAAGAAGAGGTCTTGGAGCTAGTCTGTCCCATGACAAATGAGGAAAGTGAACCTGGTGCCATATTTGCTTCTAACATCATGGCTTGGGCAGGTCTCTGCCTCTTGGAGCCTCCCTCCCTCAGTTTCCTCATCTGTCGAGTGGGGATAAATCATATCTGTTCAGTACCCAGCTTTTATGGGGCTTAAATGGAATTTCACCCTCATCCATGTTGTTACCGCCACCGTCATTGCTACCTTTACCCAGTGGTTGCTATGTGTGGGTGTTTTACATGGATTCAACATATAAAATATTCAACAAATGTTTGCTGAGCTCTGACTGTGAGGCATAGTCCTAGGTATTTGGGATAGAGCAGTGAACAAAAGAGTAAACTCCCTACTCACTTTAGACTTCTATTTCAGTAAGAGGAGATACAAATTTTTAAAAATAAATCAATTAAAAGACTATTCTGGAAAGGTGACAAGTGCTAAGAGAAAGTAAAGCTGGAAAGGAAGGTGGGCTTCGCTGGGAAAGGGAGGTGGTGTTTCAACTTCAATTATCTCTTCTAATCCTGCGTGGTTGGTATTAGTCCTGTGTTGCAGTGAGGATACTGAGGCACAGGGATGCTATGTGACATGCCCAAGGTTGCACAGCTAGTGAGCGGCCGGGCTGGAGAGGCAGAGTCTGTCTGACTCCAAAGCACTGGGACTGAAAGTCACTTCCTCTCTTGACCTCCTTTTCCACATTTATGGGTCAAAAGGGTGGGATCGACCCTCTTCTGGTACTGAGTGAGTGTTTCTTTGATTATAACACACAAGACCCAAGGCCAGTAGAGGGCCAGGGGTGAGGAAGGGCGACCAGGGAGGGAGGGGGCTCCCCTTTTAGGGGGATGGTGGGTGTGGATGGATGTGGCCCAAAGAAAGGTGTGTATCTCGTCATTGTTTCCAGGGCCAAATGGGGGTGATGCAGGAATAGGAGCTCCTGGGGGAAGGACAATTATGCTAGTGTAGTAAATTCTCTATTCTAACACCTGGAATCTCACTCTTGGCTTCCCCACTTCCCCCAACCTGCTTTTTGTTAAGAAAACTTTCAAATCTACAAGAGTTGAGCACAGTACAATGAATGCTATTGGCTAACAATCTGCCCCATTTACCTCCGCCCACAACATTTCCTGTTAATTTGCTTGTGTATTTACTCAGAACCATTTGAAAGTGAAATGCAGGTATTACACACCTTAGCACGGATCCCTTAAAGGCAAGGAGACTCTCCTTCACAATCACAACACTCGTATCACACCTAAGAAACTTCATATTGCTCAGTGACTCTCATCTAATATAAAGTCCATATTCAAATTTCCCCAGTTGTCCCCCAAATGTCTCTTATTCTTACTATTTTTTTCTGAAAGAGAATCCAGTTAATGATCACATACTATATTTAGGTGTCATTTATCTTTATTTTCTTGGATATAGAACAGTCCCCCTGCCTTATTTTTAATTTTACAACTTCAGCAGTTTTTGAGTTTACTCAGTTGTCTAGCAGAACATCCCACATTCTAAAGGACACTGTGAGTCAGCGGAGGAAGCAGTGAGTAGTTGAGAGTCCAACGTGCCCAGAGCAAGGCTGGGTACCATGAGAGGATCCTGGGTTAAGTCTGATCTCCCCTGCCCTGGAATTCCTTGCTGAATTATGTCACCTCTCCTAGGAAGTCCTCCCTGATAGACACTGGCAAGTGAGTTGCTCCTCTTGCATTGCTCTCACAGCACTTGGAACATAGGTTTGCTGCCCCTTCCACACTGCACTGTAGTTAATTTTGCGTCCTTTCCTGAATAAGGCTGTGTGAGTGCCTTCAGGGGAAACCAGCAGTAAGTTCATACCTGTACCTACAGGGCCAGGACTCCACTTGGGTATGTAGCTTGTGTCCTGCACAAGGATGCCTGGCCAGGGGGGTGAGTGGGGACTAGAATCCAGCCCACAGTCCACTTGCCAAACCATGGGCCCTGGCACTGGGCTGTGTCTGCTGGGAGGAAGGGGCACCTTTCCTAATCCGTCTAATGGAACCACATCATGGCAGACCCGCTTTCCACTGTGCTGCCATTCAAGTCGTGCTCAGTTAACAGTTGTCCTTACCTGCATGCTAGATCTTGGGAAGAGTTTGGGCAGAAGAGATGTGCTGGTAATTGTTCTTTGTGAGGAAAACCCCCCTAATTTGTAGTATTTGCTAATTCCCATGACGTAGATACTCCCACAGTGGCTGATCCCAAGCCACTGAGTTGGGAAGAGAGGCACACAGTTGGCTCTTGCAAGCCACTGGATGTGGCTCCAGCACAGCACTGTGGTTTTACATTTATAATCTTAAAACTGCATCTGAAGCAGACTTTGAAGGCCCTGGAGAGAGAGATAAAGAGAGACAGCGATGGAGAGAAACAGATGGAGAGGAAAAACAGACAGGAAGGAAGAGAGGCATTGACTAGAGGGGAGACAGAGACTCTACTTCACTCTAAGGCTTGGGGCCTCCCCAAAGGTGAGGAATTGCTTCATCCAAGTCCTATGCAACCTATGTGAAGGAACTTGCCCAAGGAGAGGCTGGGCCAGTGGCTTCAGACCCCTGGAATGAGCCCGTTATCCCTGAAGCAGAGCCCCTGACTCCTCTACTCAGCCTGTCTGTGAACTGTGACCCCAACAGAGAAGCCCAGAGTGAGTGAGGTGTTCCTGTTGCCTCAATTCCTCTGCACATACTGTCCACTGCTTCTAAATCCTATTTGCCTCCTTTAGAGCTTGGCCCAAGTGCCCCCGCCCACAGGAAGCTGCCTATGTGCACATCAAGCTCCTCCCACGCTATTCAGTTTTATGCGCCCCAGACTTATCTGCCTCTCCAGGGCAAGACCAGACTCTGCTCCTTCCAGATTCCAGCCTCCCACTCTCCTGCCCTGGGCCCTCACCTGGACAAATTCTTATCCATCAAAATCTTTATCAATTGACTGACTGACTCAAGAGCTTCAGTGACAGATGAAAGTACCCCAATTAATGAATTGGATAACCCTTACTTGAGTATCCACTATGTGCTAGGAAGCTGGGAGCAATGTGGACTGATGTACAGAGTGACATTCATGTGGGGGAGCCCAGAACATCATGGGGCCATAGATAAAGGGGCACAAACCCTGCTTTCAGTGGCTGCAGGGAGGCTCTTGGAGGAGGTAGCCCCTAAGGTGAGGGAGGAAGAGGTATCAGCTAGGCAAGACAGGGAGAGAATCGGGGAGGTTAAGGGCAAAGGGAGCAAGGGTAGGAGAGAATCTGGGATTCCAGGAAAGAAGTGTGGTTCAGAAAGGTTGACATGGACCATGATGGGGTGCAGCGGTGAGGGCGTCAAGGAGGGGCATGTCTTGAAAGGCCAAAAGAGCCACGGGGTGGGGGCAGCTACTGATTTGCTGGTGTGTATGTTGAAGGAGTAGAGAAATGTTGAGGAGGGAAAAAAACGCTGGAGGCCCGTTGAGGCTGAGAAAGGGAGAAGGGAAGGGTGGAGAAAGCCCCTTCAGGAAGGCGAGACGTGAGATGAGCTGGAGGAGCAGCAGGAGAGACGGCTCAGTAAGCTGCTTCTGGTCCTTCAGACGGTGAGATCCTGGACCACCCTGGGTAACCACCCCCAAGTCAAAAAATAGAACGTATAACGGCCAGAGAAGACTTCTGACAGTTGAGCAGAGAACTGAAGGAGATGAGGGTGTGTGGATAGCTCAGGGAAGAGCATCCAGGCAGAGGGAACAGAAAGGGCAAAAGCCCTGAACGGGATGTGCTGGAGGCCATCAGGTGGGTCTGAGAGGTCAGATGAGGCAGGGCTTCCTCAGCCATGGTGGATTTTCTCCACGAGTGACGGGGATTCATGGGACAGTTTTGAGCAGGGCTTGACTGTGTTCAGCAGCCCCGTGCTCCCTCATCTCTCCTCTGTCCCCAGGCCAGAGCACTATGGAGAGTGGACAGAGGGTGCCCCGAAAGGGCCGGAAGCTAGGCTCCAGCCGCCGGCGGCAGATGCGAGAAACAGCTGATGGCGAGGATGCCCCTGTGGCCCCAGGGCCAGGGTCCTGGTCCTCCCAGGCAGCAGCAGAGCTACAGGACTTCTTCCAGGACTGTGGTGCCAAGGAGAGGGGCTTTGTCACTCGAGAGGACCTGGCGGTGAGTTCAAGGACCCATCCCACCCCCTGAATCCCTTTTCTACAGCCTCCTGAGACTCCCCATCCCAACAGCACTTGCCTGCTCTTTCCCCTTTCTCTCATCTTCAGATTTGCTCTCAGAAAAGGCTAGGAATGTGTTTATACTGACTAACACTTATAAGGCTAATTTATGTGTTACCCTCTTCCAGAAACATTTGCAGTTTAATAAAGGAAAGGTTTTCAGCCATAGAAGTAACTTGCATGTGGTATAATTTTAGGCCCACCGAGCAAGGAAGTTTATCTTGGGGAACATCAGGGCCCTGGAAATCAAACCATGTCAATGACATAAACTTCAATGAAACAGATCAGCCATGGTTGTGCAAGACAGTAAGGAGTCTTAGGGTGTGGCCTTGACCAAGATTGGCCAATTTTTTTGTCTGTTTGTTTCTCCTATTTTCTGCCAAGGGTCCTATGTGGGTTGCTGGATTCTCCCTGGATCTGCTTTCTCCTGATACTGCTCTATACTCTGGATTTTGTTCCTCCCCCATCAAAACTGACCCTTCCGATATTCCACCCTCAGGGCCACAAGAGGTACAAACGGCTGATGTTAAAATATATTTTTCAAAATGGTTGAAAAAAAAAAAAGACTTGAGTAGACATAAAATCAATACTTAGCAAATATCTAATTTATTATTATTATTATTTATTAATGAGGGAACCATTAAGATGTTATGGCAGGTTCCAGGAGCATTTGAGAAGCTGGGATATTTGTAGGCAACTTGACAGAAGAGTGTTAGGATAAGTTTCCTGAATTCAGTTTTTAAAACGGCTAATATCCAACAGGTCAGACAGCTTTGAGGTTATCTGTGCTACTAGACAAAAATTATTTTTACCTCTCCTGGGCAAAATCTACAAGTTAAAAAGTAACTTCAGTAGGTCTAGGACTTTTAATGAAAGGTAAACAATGAGATGAATTAAGTGCATTCCTCTCGTCTAGACAATGCCTGGGTAGTCATTACCCCCATGTAATATTGAGACGACGTGCTGTCTACCTTTTTGTCTTATTTCCAAGTTTCAGATAATTTCCCGTGATTATACATAACCTCCAAAGTAAATTCTTGATACAAAAAGGCTGATCTCATTAGGTTTGGCTCGATTATCTCCATAGGTGCAACAAGGGTGTAAATAAAACATGTGGGCTCCCTTGACTGGGCTCTGCAAATGGAGGCTTTTGAAGGACTGAGCCATTTTAGTTTCTGTCCAGACAGTTTTCATGTGGAATCTTAAGCTGGACTTTAAAAAACTCTTGTTATTTGCACTTCTGGTTAGAGTGACCATCTGTCCCAGTTTGCCTGGGCTGGAGGGGCCCCTGGGATGTGGGACTTTCAGTGTTAAAACTTGAAATCTTTTGAGCATACTAGGGCTAGTCAGCCTCCCTACGTCTACCCTAAAGCTAGGAAACCAAGCACAAGCCTTTCTCTACCAGCTTTCACCTGCAGCACTTATAAATGTGAGGAACTTCCTTTCTTCTTGAGGTTCCCAATTTTTCTAAGGTCCCTGTCCTGTCCAGAATTCACCTTCCTCATCATCTGTTTCCAGACCAGGCTCCTGGGAGAGCTTTGCAGGCATTGGTTCCACAAATGTCCCTTACTTGTCACACTTGATTAAATGAGAATCATCCTTTTAATATTACATCTAGTTGCACAATTATTTACCCAACTATATCTCAGTAAAAAGGAGGACAGGTTCTTACTGAACCTGTGTAAATAACTACATTGCCATGGAAAGGAAGGAGATTCAGGAAAAGTATTGGTTTCGGAATCAGGAGTGTAAAATTTCAGTTTATAAAAGCATACTCTCCTACTGAAGGTTAGAGACAGCTTAAGAAGACAGAGAAAGGACTTCCTCATACATCCATAAATATGGAACAATAAAAAATAATGTCAACTGCATTCCCAACAAATAACCACAACTCAGTTCCTTCAACCATTCATTTAGTTCCGGGTAATTAATTCTTGTTCTGCTGGATTTTGGGTGAGCTGGCTGCTTCTGGTCTGAAAACAGTCCTAGAAACTGTGACCCACTGGCTCACTCTGAAGGTCGGCTAAGTCAGCTTGGAATCCTGGACCCAAGTGAAGCATCAAGAGTTCATAGAACCTGGTACAGTCCTTTTCCACAAGGCTTTGAGTCTGTGCTTTGTGGAAGACACAAACTGGCCTGCAACATGTAATCAAGTTTTCAGGCAAGGGTAGGAAAGTAGAAACGTGTTTAGTAACGAGACTGAAAGGCTGTGGTTATTTAGTACAGTAACTAAGAGTATCAGAATGAAAGAGAGTAAAATGTTCTACTGGGATACAGTGTATAAATATTTCATAAGCGTTTGCTCAGTGTTTCCCCTGAAGGTAAGAACATATTATGCATAGCAAAAGCATTGAGAAATCTCCAGGGCTTTCCTATAAAGCATGCAATTTCTGAAATACGTATATTAATAGTGTTTTACCTTTGTAAACTTAGCTAGGAAAGGCTGAACGTCTCTTCTGATCCGACAGTTCTTCCTATGATGCTCTTATAATGGTGTCAAGGTATTTAATAAATAAAGAGAAAAATATCCTGACATTTAAATTTAATTTACCTAAACTTAGGATCTGATGTTGGGAAGGCAAAACCAAAAGAACTATCAGAGAAGACAGGGCATTAGGTTAAGACAGAATCATGGGATTCTGAGAAATAGTACTTGGTTACCTATTTAATCAAAGTGACAGCAAAACAAAGTATTTTGAAATAAATACAGAAGAAGGCAACACTGTTGTAAGGACATTTAGCTCTTTGATAGGGAAAGTGGCTTTGCTTTTTGTTTTAAAGAAAATCAGAACACAATAAAGCCAAAACAAAGCAGAGAAAGTTATTCTGCTGAGATTCGCAATCAGTTACCTGTGCAACTTACACAGATTATTAATAGTAACCTCTTTTTATCCCTTTCCTTAGAGCTTTAAGGCCAATTTGTCATTTTAACTGAGATGGAGCTGAATTCTAGTTTTGCATTAATATAACATGTGGCGGTAAAGGTTTCATAAGATTTTTTTTTGGTATTTACTTTTAAACCCATCAAAGCTGAGCCAAATTTGGCAAAATGTTAATTTATATTTCATAGTCTATTTTACAGACTCAAGTGTTAAAAATCAAGACAACTAAGATTCCATTTCAGCAAACCCTCTACAACTCTTTATACCTATTCAGATTTTGCTTTTAATCCTTTTTCATGTCCTGGAACAACTAGACACTTTAAGACAAAACCACTCTCCTTAAACCTTGAAAAGCAAAAACACATCCCATTTTCCTTGCAGATACAGTTGCTTTTCTTTGTCACTATTGTTCCTCGTATTGTCTCAAACACCCTCAGTGATTATAACTTTCAACAAAGTAATTAACCTCTGTTTCCCAGAAAGAACTAGGGGGTAAATAACTGAGAACTGACTAGCAAAGCTCACAAACACACATCACATGACTTTCTACAGTCACACATACCCTTGTACAACTTTAAAAAAATTATGATAAAATATACATAATATAAAATATGCCATTATAACCGTTTTTATGTGTAGAGTTCAGTGACATTAAGTTTATCCACATTGTTGTACAACCACCACCACCATCCAACTCCAGGTC